TCGGATTCAGCCAATGATATAAGTTTGAACTTATATTTAAAACCATATATATAAAACTAATATAATTTTGTGTGACATTTAGTGTAAGATAAAGCATGCAATATTAAGCGCATATTGATTATATGATTCATAGCAATCAAATTTCCTTGTATATCAATCTATTCATCGTAAAGTAGCAATAGCATGGTTTATATAAGGTTCTAAAATACTCGTACAGCGGGTAAAGCTGATCTGAGGAGTAAATTCAATGGACCGAGGAAATCTATTTGGAGATGGCATTTCTTGCTTGGAAAAGCAAATACATGATTTTTATATTTAATATATTTTAATACACTAAGAAGCTTTATAATGTATGTCTCCAACAAATCTGGGGCAAACGATCAATGTGATCAGTTACTCAACTGTTTTTATTTATTTAGTTGTTATTACCTGTGGCCAACTGCATTTGATCAATTCAAACAAGTATGAAAATTGCACGGTTTCCCGACGGTGTAATCAAGCTAATACATTGGTCACAATTTAGCATTATAAATAACATTTATGTTAAAGTCAACGTAATATCTAAACTTCTTTTATCATACTTGTATAAACAAATAAATACAAATTGTATGGCAAGAACATATTATGGAGTTATTTTGGAAAATAATAAGTAAAGCCATGTTTTTACTGTATTTTTAACAATAAACTTACGCTTAGGTTTGTTATAATTATTGACATTTATACCCTTCATCAGTAAATTGGAGTATGCCTACACACTATTTTAAATAAAAACATAACGTACGGGTCTAAGTAGTAATTTTTATTATTTACAAGAATTATAATTACTATTGCTTATAGTATTTTTCATTCAGGGGTGATAAGTGAGATATTTCGTAGTTTATTAAGTAAAAACCGATCTCAAAACTTATGTCCAGCAAATGGATACCAAAAAGACCAATTTTAACAGAATGAGATACTACTAAAATACATTTTCAATTAGGAATAAAAAAGCAAGAACTTGTATTCATGTTATACGCTTTTCATTCCGTTTTCCACAGTATTGTACCGAACACAAATGTACGGACAAATATATTTTTAAAAGAGGTTCATAATTCAATAATAGTAAAATATTTTTGTTTAACTGTCAACAATTGCATTACAATATTTATTCACCGTATTTTGCTAAGTGAGTTTTGTAAAAAATTGAACATCCACTTGTTGTTTAGTATTTAAACAAATAATTAAATTATCTAATTACCTTGAAACCCAATGTATTGCCTTGCAGAGCAAAGAGAGGGGTTTTTTTAAGATTCTCCAGTCCGATTTGATAAGAGGTAGACCAAGAACTCAGGTAATCGGTTGCAATTCCTTAAGTGTGGGTTGTAAATCTCAATAGAAGACCACTTTCGTATCCAACGCCTGTATTGAATCGATTGACGTTTCTAGCTGCTTTATAACAGTATCCTCTGCGCAGTAAGTAAAGAGAAGAGTTAGTTTACACACAGTTTCTAATGTAATTGGGAAAAGAAAAGAAATTATATATTAGGTTATACATAATATGACTTGTGAACTCCTGCCAATCATTATTTAGATACGTATGTGCTGCGTTACACAACTGGTGATATCTAAAAAAAACATTTCTATAATCACAATTATCACAATTGTCCTTGAGAAGATGTTCTAAAATAATTATCATAACAATTTTTTAAAGAGGAAATGGAAACGCGCACTGTTATAATTTATGCAGGAGAAAATTTTTGCTGTCCCAGGTTTACAATTCTAAAGTTCTCGTCGTCTAACTAATGTTGGTTCCTCGACTAATTTGGGATATTTAAAGTATAAGAGTGTAAGTGGATATCAATTACACCCTTTACGATTTACTAAAAAACCTATTTTAAGTACAGTTTTTCTAGTTAAAAGTAAATTTATATTTTCCTGACGAATATGAGTTTGTTTAACAAATTGTAATAAGCCTTTCATTCAAACATAAAAATGTTTCATAAGTGTTGTATCATTTTGCCCTTAAATAATAAAAGGAAGGATTTTAACAACATGAAAAATCTAAAAGTCCTATGAGGAATGTACGAAACCCTAATAAGAAAACTAGATTCAAGATTCAAGATTCAAGATTCAAATAGTCTTTATTCAATATATAACATATATGAAACATACATGTATCTGAATAGAGTCAAAATCTATATACAAATCATACACATTAAAACATAAATCTACACAAATGTCCATTATGAAAACTAAATGGAAATTCAAATGAAATATTTTGTTTTATCTACAAATTCTTGTAATGAATAAAAAGGATTTTTTACTAAGAAATCTTTTAAAAGTTTTTTGAATTTTTTATATTGTAACAATTTCAATCATGCATAGGTGGTTTTCTTTGTAAAATATTCTAATTTATGCTGAGGCAATCTAATTTTTAACCTAGTATTATAGTTATGCCCGGGATTGGAGGGTGTTGTTAGTTCCCTTTGTTTCAAAAAGGTTATGGTTTCAAGAATATATAAATTATACACAGTTAAAATGTCCAATTTACGAAAAAGATTCTTCACTGAGATGGTTTTCCGTAATTTCATAATAGTGCGAATTGCTCTTTTTTGCTGTTTAAGTACTTTATCAAGATTTGATTTTGTTGTTCCACCATAGACTGTGATTCCATATGAAATGTGGGATTGAACTAATGAATAATAAATAATTTTTAAAGTTTCCAAATCACAGACTCTGGACATCTGTCTCAGAGCATAGATACCAGAAGATAATTTGTTTACTAGGTGATTGATGTGATCATCCCATGAGAGATTTTCATCAATGATTAAACCAAGAAATTTAGTTAGGCCCACTTGATCTATTCTATCTGATTTTAAGAAAATATTTGGCTTGAATTTGACTTTTGATTGTTTGGCTGAAAATGATATTAGGTTTGTTTTCTTTTTATTTACTAATAGATTTTTTTGATCAAGGAACTCATGGATAAACTGAACTGTTTTATTTAAAGATTTTTCAACATAATCATGTGACTTTCCTGAAAACAGAATATTACAGTCATCAGCATACAGACACATTCCGGACAACTAATAACTAAAAACTCCGTTTTCTCCAATGTAATTTAGTGAGAAGCCCTTTATTACCAACACAATTCACGCTGACTTCTTGACTTTAAAATATGAAATTACATTAACTTACATTCGTAAAATATCTAAAAAAGGAATTTGGTTTTGTGTATACACAACGGAAATTAAATTCTAGTTTAACATTCACTTATTTGTATTTTTTGAAGATTAAATAACAATGGTGATATTGTATATTGTTTAGTTAGAATTAAAATAGTATATCGAGCTCATAATGTGTATTGTTATTCTTAGGTAATAATCATTTGATAACGATAAAAATTCTTAATCTTTGAGGACGAGGAATCAACTTTTACTAGAAGTTTAATTGTGCATGAAAAGGACCTTAACAAACTGTAAAAGTCTATTTCAACGCATTAGTTAATTATTACTTGGATTAACTCTCATAATAAAATGTGAAAAACCTGTGCTTTCAGACAGGCTTTTGCCATTTCGGTTAGTAGTAGGCCTACATAGTTATTGAAGAAAACACTAAGTTGAAAATTATTTGTCATAAACAGTGTCAAACCTAGATTTATTTGTGTAACTGGAAGAAAGAGAAACGAAGCTAGAAAAAACATGTTTTCTAAGCTGAGACAAGAACTAGAAACAACCCCCACTCCCTTACGGACCATTTCTCTATCATAGAATAATGAAATGATGTAAAGAATCCTTTTAAACCAGCTCCGGAAAAGGGATAGGGCAAAAAATGACAAAGATGGGATTGTGTAATATGAACTCAGCATGTTGTTTATAATATTTTTTAGTTTTTCTCGTTATAATAACGTAATCTAATGGTACTCCCTCAAGAAGTAGTTCCATGAACCATTGATAAATACTAGACTTTTGTCCATCATAAGTAACAATAGCCTACTAATACAAAACTAATGTAATTTCAATAGAACTCTGAATTACATTACTTTACTTCATAATTCCTTGGCCTTTTTATTTGTAAACTTTCCATGATTAGGTAGAATGAAAAAAATAGGCTTGTGAATTTCAGAAATAGTTTTGCTCTTTAGTTTTGCATTTGTTGTTTTTATTTATATTTACCTTTGAGGAATGCTGTTGGCTACATTTGTAGATAAAATGTAATACAATTATCTGCTTGACTTCTGAAAGCAAAACAAGTTTAGGTTGCATTTGCATTTTTATTGGTTTCCCGGGTTTTCCACCTCCTCAGCTTTTAAATTTTATATTTTTATACAAAGCGTAACAGATTCTATTAGCATACAAAGTTTGCGAGGTTATTACAGTTTAAATAAACTTCTTTGTATTAAGTAGGTATCAAAAGTAGCCAATGCATATTACCACAACAAGTTTCATCATTGAAAATATGACTTTTCTTCTTTATGCAATGTAGAACTAGTGCTAGAAGGGATGAATGTCATATTTATGATTAATACAATTTTGTAGTTTTCCATCGAATAATATGTGGTACTTGAGATTTTTAAAGTATTAATGGCATAATGCTAATCAATAAAATGAATGTCATATATGTATGTCAGTGGGTCTTAATTTCCGCTGGATTATGACAACTCCTTACTATAGTCGTTGTTCGTATGGATTTTCTAATCTTCAGCTAGACCCACACAGTTCTTAAAAAAGACACACCAAGAACTGTTTTTAATTCATTTATGATTTTCTACTAGATCTCTGTTTCTATGGTTAGGTAGATATCTCGCCTTAAAACGGGTTCAATATATTTTTTATTTTGTAAATTATGAGGAAGAATTACCTTTAAAACACAAACTTACTATCACCAAAATGTACTTTTACAAATGACTCAAGTTGTCATATGAATCATTAATAAACAACAGAAGGAGTAATTTTTATTAAATTCACGGTAATTTTTATTTAGTCATTAGTTGCTTACTAACTGGTGTTTTCCTGTTACAGGCGAGTCAATGTGTCGGGATTGGTAACGTCCCAATGTTGGGCGTCCGTGTCCCCACAAGAGTACTATGTTGTGTTGGCCAAAGTAATTGGATCACAACTTGTCAAAGCTGAGGAAAACGATGCTTCGGTGCTGCCATGGACCCCTGACACCGATCGTCTGGTCTGGAGATCATTAGGTAAACTACTTTTACCTACGACCGTTTTTTAAAGTAGCCATTTCAGTCCAGTTCTTAGAATTGAAAAGTTTCACTTTACAGCTGTTTACTTTCATATCCGCATAGTTTCATTTCATATCCGCATAGTTTTCTCATATCCACACAGGTAACGGACCAATGAGGTTCAAGTATTGAGAGAAAAGAATTAAAATTGTAATGCTTCGAACGTCAACTAATCAGCTGATCAGCTGATCAGTTGACCAATTTAATTGTTGATCCGACTTGTTCATGTTGATACTCGCGTATTCTTAATTAAGTTGGTGGAAGTCCAAAAATAAATGAAATATTTGCCGAATTGTACCTGATACAATATTATTTATGGTAAGAATGCTGCTAGCAATGTAATATTTAACGAAGTTTAACAAACACGTAATTACAGGAAATCAGCTGATTATACAAGTCGTTGCATCACTTTCAGTGACAATGGCAATACACGAAAACATAACCTCTCTAAAAAGTTATCATAAGTGATTGTTAGTAATTAAATCCAGATTGATAGTAATTAAAAAACGGTCGTAGGTAAAGTAGTGTACGCAACTCGCGTTAATAGTCTTTACGACACTCGTAGAAGTTTTTAAGGCACGAATTTTCTACTCGTGTCGTAAAGACTCACTTATCGCAATCGTTGCGTAAACTACTATAGTTATCCACATTTGATAGGTGTGTGACTAGTAAAACGACCCACTATACAATTTGTTACACTTAGGGATTTAATGAAGAATGTGTGATATATTTTATCGAAAGTGTGCCATTTTAGCGTTAGTCTTGGCTCAAACTTTCTAAGTGCTAACCATTGACTTGGATACTAGAATTGACATTGCCTCTATATGGATCAACTGGTATATACTCTATAGTGTTCCATAATATAATATAATGTTATAATATAATATAATACTCCATATGATATTCCAACGTTCTCTTTCATTCAAGAATTGACTATAATATTAACAGGTAAGTGTAATGTCTAGCACTATTCTCAGTCAAAGTAACTGTAATATTGTCATTAATTAATTAACGAATTAATTAAAAAGCTATCTCTAATACAAAGTTGTAACTTTGTACAGGATGGGGTGAGTGGATGGAATGGAGTGCTTGCAGCGCCTCGTGTGGCGAGGGCTCGCAACACAGGTGGCGAGCATGTCTACAACACGCAGGCTGTGAGGGATTCAACAAAGAGACTAGGCGTTGCAACATGTTCCCTTGTCAAGGTAATGTTGTCTTCACCTCTAAACTTAGTCATAGTTTATATAAATAGAAATATATAACAAGATTGAGGCTTTCATGGTTAGACTACTGTACTCTACACAGTATTGTTGTTTTGAAGATGGCCATGTTGATGAACAGCACTATTATGCATTTTAACAGTTTGTCCACGGGATGTATTCCAAAAATGTATGTTTGTTGTTCTGATCGATTGATGTTTCCAGGGTGAATCCCATGCTGCGGTATAGGTTGCAGTAGCAAAACAAAAAAAAGAAACGAAACCAACTTTAAACAGTTTTTTTTAATGCAGACACTTTCACTTGTGACATATTTTTGGGTGCATTAGCCAGCGTGTACAGTGTCACATGCAGTAACTTTGAAGTGTTAGGTTACATTTTCTTAGGCTTATATCCCAGCCGAACTTCGCGATATACTACTAGAAGTAAGGGTGTGTTGATCAAATGTCTCAAGGCTTGTGCTAAGTTTTGCGCTGATAAAGTTGTTTAGAATTAGTTATTCACGTATGTATATTGCAGGCGCGGTGTCGCCGCTGTCCCCGGAGCAGACAAGGTTCCTGCACGGCCAGTGGGGACGGACCCCGGACCGTGCCACGGCATGGAGGCTACGCCCCAGCACCTACCTGTGGCTGCCCGCCGCGGAACTGCCCACCTCGGCCCGTCACCTGCGTCGTCACTTCGCCCTCCTTGTCACTCTGCGACTCAACCCCAAGGTTTGCAGCACCTGCTGTACTTATCCGACCCAACACTGCAGACAAGTGTAGTTTTTAATCTATGAAAAAGTAACACCATTAACATTTTTATACCTCGATCAATAATCAAAGATAATACTCTGTTTCTAAAGCGAATGTAAAAATATATGTCAGTTATATATCGCCCAGTCAAAAATACAAACTGAAAACAATATTATTTTACAGTAAGATTTAGATTATGTTCTAGAAACGAGCTAAGTATACAAAAACAAAGGAATACACAATTAGTCAACAACTCCTGAGAAAAATAACTTACGAAAATGAATTGCAATGTTAATCCTAAAATATATAAAAGTTTAGAATCGTGGTCTTCTGGCGACGACCGTGTCAAAAATGATGAATCACTAACACTCACCGAAGTTTCGGCCTCGATACAGAGTGCCATCTTCAGGGCGACTTGACTCCGCACAGATGAAAAATCAAAAGTGGTTGGTGAGTGTTAGTGATTCGTCATTTTTGACACGGTCGTCGCCAGAAGACCACGATTCTACATTAAGTGACCGTGGAAGCCTATCCAGGAAAAATATAAAAGTTTGTTTGTATAAAACCTGTAAAAACAATTGAGATGTTTCATAAACCGTGACACATACTAAGGGCAATGAAAAAAATGAAACCAGAAGAAATATAAATGGATTTAAATTAATTTTCTAACTGGGTTAAAGATATGACACTGTTTTGCGTGATCCTCAATCTAATAAATGTATAACGAACGTTTAGTTAATATTACAGGAATACAGGGTGACAAAAAAGTCTGGAAACGGTTTGATATCTTTTTAACTAAATTCGTTAGAAAATTCAAACCTTTCACATCAACTTATATGTATTAAAACTACTTTTTGCAAGCATTACCATTTTTGTGCCTTCACCAGGGGACGGCCCATGAGGAGTAGGTACATAATCTTTAATGTAAGCATAGGTTGATATGCACATCATTTTAAAGGTCTGGTCAAGTAGAGTTCATTGCCGGAAACCGCGTCAAAAAAGGTTCATCCTTTACAAAATGGCGGCAGTCCAAAGTTCTTGCGGAATATTCCTGCACAGGCCTTAATGGTAAATACTCGTAGTCAACATTAGCCGGGAATTCTGAAACCCGATTAAATTTGTTTTGAAGATTGTATAAACTTAGTCTATGAGCTAGTTGACTTTAAAATACAATTTCAGCTCTCAAGCTAATGTTTAATACGAGTATTTACCAATCCTAATGTCTGTGCAGGTATATTCCACAAGAACTTTGAATAGCCGCCATTTTGTAACGGATAAACCTTTTGAGACGCGGTTTCCGGCAATGAACTCCACTTGACCATACCTTTAAAATGATGTGCATATCAACCTATGCTTACATTAAAGATTATGTACCTACTCCTCATGGGCCTTCCCCTGGTAGAGGGAAAAAAATGAAAATGCTTGGAAAAAGTAGTTTTTATACATGTAAGTTTATGTGAAAGGTTTGAGTTTTCTAACGGATTTAGTTAAAAAGTTATAAAGCCGTTTTCAGACTTTTTTGTCACCCTGTATATTTAATTATATATTTTTCTCTCTTCTTGTTTCGTTTGAGCGTATGTGTAATAAATCACGTGTGTATCATAATTCCAGAAATACGAAGAAGTGTCTTTATTTAAAGCAGTGTATGTCATATTTCTCACGAAGGAAGGATTTTAATAATTCTTTAAGTAAAATTACGTGCTGCAGTTAAATGAACTTATGTGATCATACATCGGTTTGTATTTTACCTGATATTTGCACTATCTCCTCTCTTCAGAATGAAAAACGTGAATAACCTTTAGCATTTTATAATATTAAAAAAAGACAAAATAATGGCAAAGTCAATCAAATTAAACGTTACAAAATGTCAGTGAAACGTTCAGAAGCAATTTCCTCACTGTCAAGTCACAAAAGAATGTTGAGCGACATTTTTATCTCATGTTACTTCTTTTACGATAATAATGCCCCAATAACTTGTGGTTAACCATTTTACATTCCTTGTTGAGTGCAAAAAAGATTGAAAAATATTTGTCTGTCGGGCACAATATACGGCGGTGCATCGATTAAATTGATATAATCTATACCCTAGTGTTTAATCTTTGGTATTAACTTTACTAAATTATTATTCTTAATATGTTCTCAGTATTCACTAGTGTTTATCCGGTAGGTCTATGAAAAATGCGTACGTAAACATGAAAGAAGCCATCAGGTGTATACGCGAAAAAATTACAAGAACAACAATGTAATAAACTTGAAACAACTAAATGTTCTGATTGTATTTCAGCAGAGAATATTTTGTTAAGTACAGTAGATGTTAAACGTTCAATAAAATGATGTGTTTTTTGTTCAAAGGAATCTTCGGCAGGAACCTTGTTCAGTTTACGATCAAGGAGACATCAAAATGCTTACCTCAGTGTGGAGCTAGCAGGGAAAGACAGTGTAAAGTTAGTTCACGCCAGCCACAATGGCACTCAGACAGTGACAATACCAGCGCCCCTGGCGGACGGACATTGGCACCACCTCGCCATCGGGTAAGTACCCGTCAAATAATAACCCAGGTATACCATTAAACCGGTTGGAAATTTGTGTAACAGTATTCATGTTTAACAACTACAGTTGTTAATGAAGCACTCAATACACAGGATAGGAGGCGTTGAGACTGGTATGTTGTGATGCATGAGATACCTCAATCAACAGACACATTGTTTTAAGTTTGCCTCGAGGTATAACAATTATTGTAGTATATTTAACAAGATGAATTAAAGTACTGAACACCTAGCACGTGACAGCGTTCACCTGGTACACATTTCGGAAAAGTTAGCAGTTTTTTTATGGTTAAAAATTGAACCTAGCTTTCCTTGAACATTGGCATTTTAATAGATGGTCCTGGATTGTATAACCAGCTCATATCAGCAGGAATAAAGGAACCATCGCATTCATTCAACGTACATTTTTCAATAAACTCTTTCTTACGCATCTTAGTGTGTCAACGTCATATGAACTTATTTAATCATTCATGGTTAGTGCAAATTAGCATAAAGTAAATGCATAGTAGTTCTTAACATTAAAAAAAATGGGTTAGAGTTGATCTAACGATTTGTTTGTTCTATGTCAGTGTACAGCAGGACAGCTCCGTTCGTAGCTACCTGGACTGCCAATGGGTATCTACAGACATTCTACGAAGAGACTCCCTGGAAATTCCCGAGGACGCTGACGTCGTCATCGGATATCTCTTTTCTGTAAGTCTTCAGTAACCTGGAAGAAGATATTACAGCAAACTAAAAGCTTTCTAAAAGTATACAACATTTTAGTCATTATGATAGGTCAAGTCATGTAATTTCTCATTTGTAAAATAGAGTAATGTGTTCGAGGAGAGAACTGGTCTAGTGGTTAGAGCACGGGACTCCAGTCCTTGAGGTCCCGGGTTCAAATCCCGTCAAACCACGAATTGATTTTATCTAAGTGATGATGCCGCAACCTCTAGGTCCTAGGACAAAACAATTGTGTAAAATAAATATCCATGTGAGCAAATTTACGTTTTATTTGCAAGATATAATGATAATATATAAATACGACTAGCTTATTAACAAGTATTGCTGTCCAAAATAGGCGTGTTCTTTTAGTTTTTTTATAAGTCTATTGTGGAAAAGACAAATGACAAGATTTTTACAGTCAAAGTGGCCTGCATTATCGTGATCTTTGAAATATGACCCGTCGACCTACGCTGAGTAACGTAACGTTTCGGATGCATTAAAATAATATCTCTTAAGGTCAAGAGCCAAAAAAATAGTTAATTCCGTACCGAAGATAGATTGCTGGATCCCTTGCAATATGTCAACTATAAGTTTAGTTGGTTTTTGCATTTAAATATGCTGCGCAAGGATCTAAACCTAGATAATTGATGAGAATCGTATTGTACAATGAAGAAAACCAAATCAACTTATGATTTTTTTTCATGTTGTTATTGCTACTTTCAAGCAATATTAATCTAGTTTCCATGCAATTAGTTACGCGCCCATTAACAGTGACGCTGTGCGTGTGCTGAATTAAACACTGTTATTTATTGTCCCGTACATGCACACTCCAGTCATTTAAGTAGATTAATCTATCTGTTTGCTTTGTTCTGAGTAACGTAATCGTCAGTGATCCTTATCATAGGAGCTCTATAGATATTAAATCTCAAAATACTATTTCAATGTTTTCATATTTCATTTTATTTCTTTTATTTCATTTATTCATTGCTAGCAGTTTGTCTCTTAAGCTTCCAATCACAGCAAGACCACCTCACTATGTCATGACTTTGGTACCATTTTAAGTAGGCACTTCATTTAAATTAATGTTTGGACCGTTCGATGCAATTGTAATAACATGTACATGTATGATACTACAGGGAGACCTGGAGCAGCTGGTGATAGTACCAGACCCAGGAGCTGTCAGTCAGCAGTGCGCCACCAATCACGTGTCTAGCTATGACCCGACGCCACCACCTACACACCCAGACAAACAAGCTGCTCAGCATCCCTCTACAGTGCCCTTGTGAGTTCTAATTTCCTATATATATCTAAAAATATATAATGTCTATCATAACTTAAAAGGTTTAACGTAAACAATTACTGTCGTTTGTGTAAGTTTGTTACATTTAAACTAATCTTCGAACAATTTTTTTTTTATTTAAATTTGTTGCAATGGTAAGAAGTGGATTCCTGATTTCCCATCATAGTTAGTAAAATACAGACCAATGTATAACGGCGTTTCGGTGTGTCCTCGGGCGAGAAATGTTCTTAAACATAGCAACACACACAGTAAACACTCCCAGTCAAAGCTTGAAAATCACAAATGAAAACAACGCAGAGAACTGTATAGCAATAAAACGAAAATCCTGAAAGAAAACAATACTAAAGTACAAACAGTAACGTGAACGTAATGGACAAGCAATGAAAAGACACTTGTTTAAAATAATGAAATCGTGATGGAAAATGTACGCAATTACCCCTAAATAAATTGGGTTAATATTTTTACACCTAAGCCTTTTCAAAGTTAATTTTTATATAAATTATCTATGGGTACGTGATTTCAGCAAAAAACATATTGTGCAATATAACATGATAAAATCAAAAGTTATCTATATAACAACAAAAAGAATGTTTAGGATTTTTGTGTGCAACAAATCGAATCTTAGTTATTTAATTTATGGGCATATTGGGTATCAATTAAAAATCTCTTATCCTCTAGATGTGCCTTTTGCTGGTTTGGATGATATCCCGTGTAATCCCTTCGTCCTTTAGGCTTTTAAAATTTAATAGTTTGTACTGAATGCTGTTGTCAACCATCTGAACTTTTTCAAGTTTACATTTGTTTACATCAAAACAGATGGCCATGATACAATTTTGTTAACATACATACGAAAATGGTGATACCTGTAGTTGGTGATGTTTCAATGAATTCAAGTAAAATTTTAAATGTAAAAAAAATTCTAGTAAGACTTTTTAATGTTTTTTTTTGTAAAATGTAAAGAATAAAATTAATTCATTTCACATCAAATAAAACATTATAAATCATAGTTTATTTACTTATGTTGTTAACAGAGGCTGACGATGGGTTTAGACGTAAACTCGAAATATACCTACACATTTTTTGTAAATTGTGTATAAATTTATTTATATGATGAGTAGCCAACAAATCAAGATTAACAGAATAAAATTACTTACATTAGATATTGTGTTGTTAGAGGATTTTACTTTTCATAGTATGTTTTATTGATCTTTAAGGGAATTCAAGTAAAATATTATAATGTCATTGGTGTAAAGGAGAAAACGACTTGCGTTAGATTTTCTGTTTTCATTGTATGTTTCATTAGTACTGTATTTGTATTTTTTTCTAAGATGCCTCGAAGAGATCGCGCACGCAATGAAAATAATAGGGCTCGCAATGCAAGTAATAGGGATATGATGAGACATAATCGATATCATCCTTATCAACTATATATCGAACATATCACGGATTTTGAAGTCACGAAGCACACAGGACGCAGGCTGCTGTTTTTAATTTAACAACAAAGTAAATGGTGTGTGTTGTAGAATTGGTATAGAATTTGCTTTATAGTTTCAGTTTTCTATCATGTTACGAGTTAGCACTTTTGTAAATGTTGTTTATAATTTTTCATAGTTTTTTTTTCTTTTGGCAGGTCACAATCTAAGAGTTTATCATACTTTGAGAAAGAAAACGAAATCTGGCAAGATGATGAAGATTTATTTGAAGCCAGCGGAGGTGGAGGCGAAACTCTGGAGCAATACGGTGAGTGATAAATGAGCTTGGTGCTAGATAACATTGTTGCAGTTGGTAATATTCTTCCTGTCAGGGAGAAGGAAGATACTTTATAACGCACCAAAAAGTCAACACTGTATAAAAGGAGAGGAGCTTAGAAAATTATCTCAATATAAGAAGTGGAGAATATCTTGAATTATAGTATAAACATTTTAACATTTCAATAGTCGTAGATTGTTTCTGTTAATATGTCCAACATTAAAATTAGAAAAATGTGTCTAGAAAGCCACATATTTTAAATTTAAATGTCTTATCGCGAGAAATGATGTTATCTTTCATGAAATGTGTAACAATAATCCATGTTTTAGTTTGGTTGTTGTATTAGTTAGAGTTGTGATCGTTTGTGCTGAAGACCCGGGTTAAATTCTTAGAAACCCGCCTTAACTTATATAACCATCTATCCTAGCAAAAGCTCTGTGATGCTAAAAAAAAATGTTGACAGCAACGACAAAATACCAGTCATGATGTAAGTAACTAAACTAATCGCTATCAATCACAAATCAACAAATTCTTAGTTATAGCTTTAAAATTTTCTTATTGATAATATTGTAAAGTGTGTTAGTGCCCAAGTGAAAAAATTGTATGATTGACATAATATTCTCAAAATTACTCATACGTGACTAAACATTTGAATGTGTCAGAATGAGGATACAGTACACCGATGATCACTCAAGCAATATTCAGTTGTTACCGCAATCACATATTAGTTGGGCGTAGAGAGACCTGTACAATGTAGCCTACATGTAGTGCAGTCTATTCTGTACTATTAGTGCAGTCAATTGCATTTGTCTTAACAGTCCTGTTGGTAAATGTAATTGTTTGATTTTTTTTTAATTTTGAGTACTTATGTAATGGGCTTATCTAATTTGACGACGTTTCTAAAAGAGCGTCTTCACAAATGAATCCCAGTCCAAACGCTCACAATTGTTTGTACAAATGTGCGCACACACCTATAATTTGCGCATTAAATGTGTGCGTGTGAACCACAGATTTGAGCAAATCTAAACACACGTTTACGACAACAAGCGACGTTCGAGCAAAATACGTCAAATGTCTGGAACGACCACACACAAGTTGGAGCGTGTGGAAGCTCTTTTGTGTCTTTTGTGTACAGTGCGTGTATAGCTGTTGTGGCCAAGGCGTTTATTGTAAATGATAATCTCATAATTATTTGAACTTAATACGAGTTTTCCTAGTTTCTGGCGGGGTAAGTCCAAAGAATAAAGTAACCGCAATCAGAACAAATTGGCTTATACCCTCCATTTGGCTGAGACAATACCTGAACACCATCTCTGGAGCAAAGGAGAGCAATCACCAACCCAAGTCTGTCCTGATTGATGGGAGCAAAGCCATCGACCGTTCTGGCACTCTACACGATCTTCAACAGCTCCCTGGCACTCCGTCACCTTTGGAAGGACTTCGTCAACATCACGTCCGTTCTCGAGGCCATCGAGCCGATATCTCACTTATAAACGTTGTACCTCTGGTCCAGAGTGTCCAGCCTTCATTCTACACACTTTATCGCCACCCCTGCCAATCTGAGGATGTACATGGTATATTTTCAACGGCAACTGGACTTGCTATAGGCGTGCCTGACGATTTGACGAATCAAGGCGAATACGGACAAGTGTAAGGCCATCTCCTTGACGAGGTCGAGGAGGCAGGAAGATGGTCATCACCTAAAACTCAACAGGGAGGACGTCCCGTGGATGACCAAGGTCATCCTTGGGGATTCTACTCAACCAAAGGACCACGTTTACTCAACACGTCCAGGCTCTGCGATCTAACTAAGAAGGGTCTTGGATCCATCCCCCGCTGTTCACCTCAAAGAAGCTGTTGACGACCCCCAAAGGTACCTGTATATACGGCACTATTCCGGCCAGTGTTCAATTACGCAGCCCCTACCTGGTTCCATATGCCCTGAAAGACTGCTAACCGGAAGCTGCTCGTTGTCCAGAGCAAGACTATTCGTCGGGTCAAAGGCTCGCTTTGGTGCGTGTTCTGTAGAGTGTTCTGTTTGTAGTGTAATGTGTTGTTGTGTTGCAGAGTACGAATGGACGCCATGGTCTGGGTGTAGTGTGACCTGTGGCCTGGGTGTCCAGACCCGCCGAGTGTCTTGCACTAACGCTGGTGTCTGGATGGACTTCTGCCTTGAGTCTGCTCGGGACAGGACTGAGTCTCGACATTGCAGCTTGGCACCATGCAAACCTGCAAACTCTACTGACAAAAGTAAATAGCATTTGTTTGGAGTTTCTTTTGTGATACAATATTGCGGGTACGATGTTGCCTTACGTAATGTATACCCCGGTCATGTTAACAATTTTTTGGTCCAAACTTCGTAAGTTAAAGTCGATATTAAATCCAAGGTAACATGTGAAACGTTTAGGTTGACACACAAGTTTTGCCGTTTCACTATTGTCCAGAATGTTTGCAATCGATGTCATTGTTTAGATTCGTACAATTGAATCGATAAAATACCTCTTTTATACCTCTTTGAAAAAATTAAAACGATCTAAATCTGTCTTAAAAACACAATTTTTTTGTGTACAATAATACTAATTATAAGCAAAAAACCGTTTTAAATAAAAATACCCCCGCCGCAGCAAACCTGCAGACTAAGCGAATTTCAACTTGTCTGATTACATTTTTACTAAAATATTTCCATAAATAAGACATATTTATTCCCTATTTAAATAACATTATATTTAACGAGTGCTGAGGTTTGCTGCTACGGGGAAGGTAAAAAGTGTTTTTGACCATACGTCAATAGTATAGGATGAAATAAATAAATTTGAAAAATGTTAACAATATATATCCATAAACAAGTAAACTACAACAATTTTCATTTTCTCCATAAGAATAACATGGGAATTTCAGATTACACTATTTTTGAATTTTCTCCGTGACTGTTAGGTATACAACAGCGCTTCAATATACTAAATTATTTCTTTTTTTAAGCTCTACAAAACGGTTTAGGAAGAAATTGCAAAATATTTTTGTTTTAAGGGTAAAAAATGGGGAAAACCCATTTTTTTCCATAAAACCCCCCATAAACCCCCGTTCCCATGGTCCGATTATGCTGGATCGCGAACTCGTTCGAATAAACGTAGGATTACACGTTTGTACCAAATTTAATCAAAATCGGATCATTTTTGCTCAAGTTATCGCGCTAACGGACACACACACACACACACACACATATATATATATATATACAGGGTGTTTGGTACTCAGTGTGAAAAAAAATTTTTGGTCTAAGTACAAAGTAAATGCAGAATGATGATGCATATAAAATGTCCCAAGTCTAAAAATTAGCTTCCCAAAGAATTATTTTATGTTTTTCAAAAATAACTATGTTTTTAAACTTAATACAGCTATTTCTCCTGTAAATACTAATTACCTGTAAATGGATTTGAGTAGACAATGTCATTTTCGTGTTCTACATTAAATTTTGAATAAGAATAATACAAAATGACAGAGGATCAGTTGTAAAAACTCCATCGTAAATAGATTCAAAGATAAAAATTAAGATGTCTGATAAAAATGCAAAAAACATTGGTCAATTGCATTTGTTCACACCCTGTATACAGGAAAGTGTCGGAATATGTTAAAAACTGCTCCATTTTATAAGCTTTCCAACCATATGCTACACCATTGAGCTTTCTGTCTGCTTATGTACGCTTTCGTGGTTTGAAGACTACAAAGCATGGCATCTTTATAATTTAAAACATAGAAAGTCAGCATGTATTAAGCAAAAGTTGTATTTTTGTTTCAGCTTGAACAGTAAAAACAGTAAAAGAGTTCCCTGTTTTCTGGCATTCAAACCACTAAAATAAACAAAAAAATATCTAAACCTCAATAGTGTTGCATATGGTTGGAAAGCTTATAAAATGGCGCAGTTTTTAACATATTCCGACACTTTCCTGTATACAGGGTGTGAACAAATGCAATTGACCAATGTTTTTTGCATTTTTATCAGACATCTTAATTTTTATCTTTGAATCTATTTACGATGGAGTTTTTACAACTGATCCTCTGTCATTTTGTATTATTCTTATTCAAAATTTAATGTAGAACACGAAAATGACATTGTCTACTCAAATCCATTTACAGGTAATTGAGAAATAGCTGTATTAAGTTTAAAAACATAGTTATTTTTGAAAAACATAAAATAATTCTTTAGGAAGCTAATTTTTAGACTTGGGACATTTTATATGCATCATCATACTGCATTTACTTTGTACTTACACCAAAAAATTTTTTCACACTGAGTACCAAACACCCCGTATATAAAATTCCATTTCACCCCTTTTTCTCCATCAAAGATTTAATGGGATTTACTATAATAATATTTACATAATAATATTTATATTTATGTATATATACTGTATATATATATATGAATTTAAACTGATGGTGTTTTTGGTCTCTAGGGACCTCAAAACGAAAAAGTAAATCGGTCCCGGGTCCAGGTCTTACCATGAGTACTACGGTAATAGCTTATTCCCTATATGGGAAATTCGCTAAAACCACTCATGATGTAGTTATGGCGATTTTTTTTTGTTCTAGGTAATGAAGACAGCGCTTCAGACTTGTGTGGGTGCCAGAATGGAGGCAAGTGCCACACCAAGCGACGCAGTTGTCACTGTACTCCAGGCTATCAAGGGCGACATTGTGAGATACGCTCCTGTCCCGGACCTTGTCTACACGGCGGCGTCTGTCACAACAGCGGCTACTGCTCCTGTCCTCCCGAGTACACCGGCCAGACCTGTCAGATACGTAAGTCTCGTTGGAGTTCTTGTAACGTACATCAACATGCCGTTCATAGTAGATTGGTGAAATACAGCACATTGTTTCAACGACAGTATGTTATAATATAAGTCAGATCCAAGTAAAAGCTATGATGTCATAATGTGTATGTATGTTAAATATGTCATTAAATTAACAAAAAATCTCTCTTCAAATATAATTTTTGGAAACATTTTATAACTTTTCTATGAGAAATATTTATCGTGAAAGTGACTCATGCTTTTAAAACTGTACCTTTGCTCCTCACGTAGTTACATTGTAGAAAAAAAGAACTGACACTTAAATTTGAACATTTACCTCCAGAAAGGTACTTTGAATTATCTATTATTCAAGATGTATTTTTTAAAGTTATTTCTATTCAAAAAGTGAATACCTTATTGCTTGCTAAGCTAGAAATTAGTCCACTTTCCAGTTCAACCTTCTTTATTTTGTACTCTGTGTTTCAGCTGTGTGTCGGCCACCATGCATGAACGGTGGACAGTGCATTAAGCCTGGAGTCTGCTCGTGTCCAGATCAATTCAATCATCCTCGCTGTGCATGTACGTAATATGATTGGCATATTGTGACATATTGCGTTAGTTAAATTGCAACCTCAAACATCCATAATTCATTAAGATAAATTTTACAATTCAGTTTTTAAAATTAATAGTTTCACATTGAATGAAAAAACGGTACTTTCCTGTTTAACATAACATAACTAACCAGACTTGCTGTGTAACATTTAAAAATTCCTTGTTTAACTTCTGTTATCAAAAGGAAGTTTTAAATAGTACAGCAAGTTTGGTTGGCTATGTTAGGTTAGCTTAGAACAGTTTAATTTCTTAATCCATATAATAGACTATTTTAGCCTAAACAAGATCAGTTGTCAATTTGTAATGGATGGGAAAACAAAAATATCGATATATCGAAAAAACTAGGAATAAAATTGAATTGGTTATATATGTGAAAAAATAGGAATTTATATGTTCAGTTATTATTCTTTATCAATATACATGGTTATTGTAAACATTATTCACTCATTGACTCTCCTGTAATTATTCACCAACCTGTGGGGCACCTCGAAAAACATTGGGTAAAACCTATATAACTATGAGTAAAAAATATGGATATCTTTGAAATGTTCAAATGTTATTCTAAGAATTTAAAATAAATATTTAACGCATCTGGTGCAAATACCTGATTGTTACGGTCTGATAAATATCAATTTGCGGTTGATGAAACTAATTCGTTTTGTTATTACATTAACATACATGGTTAAGCTTTCAACTAACACAATCAGATGATCTATATTGATTTAAGCCACTCGTTAATAACATTTATAATATTAACTGATTTTATTGTGGTTAGAGGTATGAATAAAGTAAACTTAAGAGCTGATGATCAGGAAAAAAGTGATAATTTGGCTGTAAAACTATTTGTTTACTAACATTGATACCAGTGTGTCTAGTGTGTGTCTCTTTTTAATTGTAACAAGTGTGTAATGATTTTCTCCTAACTTATGACAAGTAGTGTCTCGTGTGTATTTATTACTAGTTTATATTTTTTGTGTCCACAGCTATGTGCCCGGACGGTTGTGAGCCCGGTGGCGCTTGTGTGTCCCCGGGTGTGTATCTAATATATTTCCTCCACATGTAACCGATGACTGGTGTGTTTGTCCACAGCTATGTACCAGGACGGTTGTGAGCTCGGCGGCGCTTGTGTGTCCCCGGGTGTGTGACTAGTATATTTTACCCACATGTAACCAATGTCTGGTGTGTTTGTCCACAGCTATGTGCCCGGACGGTTGTGAGCCCGGCGGCGCTTGTGTGTCCCCGGGTGTGTGACTAGTATATTTTACCCACATGTAACCAATGTCTGGTGTGTTTGTCCACAGCTATGTGCCCGGACGGTTGTGAGCCCGGTGGCGCTTGTGTGTCCCCGGGTGTGTATCTAATATATTTCCCCTTACATGTAACCAATGTCTGGTGTGTTTGTCCACAGCTATGTACCCGGACGGTTGTGAGCCCGGCGGCGCTTGTGTGTCTCCGGGTGTGTGACTAGTATATTTTCCCCACATGTAACCAATGTCTGGTGTGTTTGTCCACAGCTATGTGCCCGGACGGTTGTGAGCCCGGCGGCGCTTGTGTGTCCCCGGGTGTGTGTCGGTGTCTCCCCGGGTTCCATGGCTCGCTGTGTCAGGAGTCCTTGTGTCCCAGGGGGTGTCTCAATGGAGGAGTCTGTGTCGCCACCAACAAGTGCAACTGCTCCTCAGGCTGGACCGGCGCCGACTGCTCTACCCGTCAGTACAGTATACTCATTTAAACCTTATACAATGATCTTAAACATTTGTAATGACTCCTGAAGCTGCTCTTAGGAGCTTTTTATAAAAGAAAACCCGAGACAAAACAATAAGTGGTGCCTAAAACAAGAATCGATATTTGTATATCCAACCAACTTTTCTCAAATGGAGTAATGGAATAACAGTACATGGGGACTATTTCTTGCAGCGGTGTGTGACCCGCCGTGTCAGCGAGGTGGTCGCTGTGTCGCTCCTCAGCAGTGTCTATGTCCGCCAGCCACTCAAGGTCAACGTTGTCAGAACTGTGAGTACCACTAATGGCTTCATAACTCACTAAAGTCACTTTGAAAAGTTCGTTATATTTCAACAACGCGTTAAGTATAACGTCAGTTTAATCATTAATGCATAGATGTTTCTGTATCTTGATCTTAACAACAGCGAACAAAATTTATCTAAACTAGTATAGGAGAGTTTCATTGATTTCAAATTCATAGCGCTTATCATCCTCATATTTTTACTAAGCTCCCCAAAACACAAAATAATAATATATGGAAATTATTTTCAATACTACCCAAAGAGGGATTTTTAGTTCCAAATTCACCATATTAACCTTACTTATATACGTTCAGTGGCACTTTTCTTTTGTTTTTTTTTACTGTCCAGAGGAGCATAAAAACTGTATCACACTACCATACAATACAAGAATCTTTAGTCCAAATAAACAGTAATTCTGAATTTAATCCGTGGTGTTTTCGTGGAAGTTGCCCAAGTCCTCAACGTGTGTATATCCCGGGCCAGGAGTGAGATGATAAGTAATAGTCAAGGAGGATAAAAGAGCGAGGGTTTGAAAATAGTGAAGATGAAAATGTGATGTTTCCTAAGTAAAGAAGATCCTAGTATAACCAGGAGAAACTTTTTAGTGGATCAAGCGAAAATATCATTCCAAAGTGGTCCTACGTGTCAGCCGCTATGAGAACGTCTCCATAAACGACATATTGAGTAGGATCTCTGTAAATCTTTGTGTGTTCACAGTCACTTGCACGAGGAGTTGTCTAAACGGTGGCGTGTGTGTGGGACCGGACTTGTGCGAGTGTCCTGCCAACGCCACGGGCCCTACGTGTGGACAACCGCTGTGTGACCCTCCCTGTGAGAACGGAGCCACCTGCGCGGCTGGCAATACCTGCGTTTGCGCACCACACACGGAGGGAACACGATGTCAGACCAAGTATGTCATGCAAGAATCGTTTTACTTGTTAAAGCTATTGCGAAATTTGGGTTCTTTAATTAAAATCTTCACCTAATGATATTATATTGCATAAGTAAATGCACACGCAACCATGTAATTAGTTTCAAATAAATTTACAATAATAATTTATTAATAATAATAAATTTGGGGTGATTGTAAGATTTTAATTTCTACGAGTATGCAGGAAGTGCACGTATATTATCAATATTGCCAGATTGTAAAATATATTGTGTTTGTTGTGGATTTTCACCACTAGCAAGTGGTAAGCAACTCGGAATTCGGTGTAAGAGATACGGGTTCAATCTCCGTATCTCTTATCCCCTCTTACAACTTCAAACATTTCAAACATTTCAATGGTTTGAAATGTTTGAACTTCTTTCCCTTAAAAGATATACGAGGATATTAAATGATCTAGAGAAAGCAACAAAAGATATGGAAGACTACCTCGATAGCCTTTAAAATATTTCCGTAGTTATGAATTGTCATTTTTCAATTTTCACATGAATATTTGATGAACTTGTAACATCTAAAATTGTAATCATGTTATTTCTTACGTGTAGCCTATATTAGGAAAATCCAAATATGTTAATAATTTAATGTTTTCGATGTGTAGCCCCTGCTCAACCTCAACCTTGCTTCTCAACCTGCTTTTTTTATATTAACTTTATATTAAACTTACATAAGGGGTATTAAATTGTAACTTATGTTCCAGAAACTGCGACTACAGATTCGTTCAGGAACCGTATACTAGAGGTTTTCGGAAACTGGTGAAAAGACGAGTGCAGACAAAATGCGGCACGAGTTCTAAGGTCTGTTTGAGAACGATAGCTGAGTACCAGACGGTCTACAAAACCTTCTACCGCACCGTATACAAGTGTGCCAACGAAGACAACCATTAAGTGACGTTTTAAGGACAGTTTTGTATATGATACCAGCATTGGGGTATATCCTTTCTCTGGAAACACAATGTACAACGTTAATATAGACGACCCTAAACAACATCGACTTTATTAAACAGAACATTAATCAGTTAACGAACAGAAAACTTCGTGATGCATAGGTTATACCAATTTGAAAACGAAACATATTGAATGATAAAAATTACATAAACACCATGGAATTTAAAAAAATTAAAGAAAATTCACATAAAAGTAATCAATATTTTTAATATTCAGTTGTGTTTTTATTATAACTTTGCTTACGCATCGTGGGTGACATGTCGAATGAATTCTAAAAACAACGTTGATATTTGTTATATTACAACTTAAACTTTCTGCTTCTAGACCTTGAGTTTTAAAGTATAGAAATGTTTAAGTTTGTTAAATACCAAAAAAAATTAAATTGTAATCTACATAATTCAGTAATCATACTGAATTGTATGGATTGTAACTAAAAGTCAAGTTTTTAGTAGTATGATCTCAGTTAACTTACTCAAACTTATCTAAGCATTTTATTTACGTTGATGTTTATAAGGAAAGTGGTGCTAACATATGAACCATATTAGTTTTCCCTTTAGTATTTAAACGGCGTTGCAACATAAAAGGTTTCAGAGAATATGAAATATCAATATAGGAAAGTGTCTAACTAAAGCTATGCGTGTAACATTTGTACAGTTTAGAAAATCAATCAAATCACTAACTTATCTGACGATGATAAATCCCTGATTATTTGCCTGTTAGTATTTTACCATAATAATTTTAGTGTAAAAAGTTGTATAGTTATTTTTAAAATGATAGTGAAATTGTAATTTTATCGGTAGACTATTTATATTATTGGTTGTTAGAAATTTTACAGGTCATTAAATTAAATCTTTAAAATTAAATTGATTAGCATATTATTACTAGTTAAGATCATAATTAACTATTTTTAGAACTATATATTTATTTACTTATTATTAACAATGGTTTAGTAACACCCTAACAAGTCAAACAAAATACCTCTACACGAACATTAGATGTTTTTATCTCTGGTGTTAATATTTTTCTCGTACAACAATAATATTAATGTACATATCAATTTTGTACCATAATTCAAAATGTGATATAGAAAACATAAATGTTCAATGTATTATAATGTTTAGTGTATTTTCTTAAGTTCAATACTGTGTTGCAAATATTTGTTTCGTAATAAAAAATGAAAGAAATATGTTTCTGTTGTGTCCTTTACCAGTTGCACTAAACTGTGTTCATCAATTGTAACACTCAGTAAGTTCATTTCTTCGATAATAAAACTATTCACAAATACTCTTTACATAGCATAAATTATGATACATAAAACAAATATTATTGATAGTATCCTCCAATAGTTGAAATAAATATACAACACGTGCTGAAATAGTCTTATCCACAAGATCCCTGAATTTATTAAAACCATTTGATAGCTGGTCTGACTCCCTTTTGTCTGAGTTTAAGTGACAAAAAAATAATTAGTATACTTAAGTATAGTAGTAAAAAAACTCCAAATTAATCTGGGAAAGCGCCGTATACAAATTACGATTTTGTAAAGGATTTCAGGTATAACATTAAAGGTTTATCACCAAGCTTATCAACTCACATAATTATATTGCTGAGCGTCTAGCTCAACGAGTACTACACGTGTCTGTTTCAAAGAAGGCAAAAGGATCTTTATAAAATCCCCCCCCCCAAAAAAAACAAAACAATCTACTTTAGTATTGTCAATGTTAGTTTTACTTAAGTTAGTGAAAATTTGAAAATAAATAAGATGATTGCAGCAGTTATACAACTCCTTTATATTGCAGCTTTTGAGGAAACAAACTGAATTGAACACTTGCGGTTAGCTTCAGTCGTGTGCTGGAATCGTTCCAGGGGTCTTAGACTTGAGAAAAAGGGATAAATGGCTCATATCGATATGGCTGTTTCTCAGGGACCGTATGGTTCTGGTAAAAGTTATTAACCAGTTTAAGATACGTTCATAATCTCCATCTGGGGGTTGCTCAGATTTCTCTATCAGATGTGGATATTGCTCGGATTTTTCCAGCAGGAAGAGATACCACTCGGATTTCTCTAGCAGGAAGAGATACCGCTCGGATTTCTCTAGTAGGAAGAGGTGCCGTTCGAATTTCTCTATCAGGAAGAGATGCCGTTCGAATTTCTCTAGCAGCAAGAGGTACCGCTTTGATTTCTCCGAGTACTGAAAATAGATTTCTACTCACACTTGGAACATACCAAACAACCAAAATCTTAGATCCATTTGACATTTGAATGGTACCTTTACCTACTGCAGCAAGAGTCTCCATAGCTCCAAGAGTCTCCAAGAGTCAATTCAACCCCCTCTTTCGGCATCCACACTTACTACCACAACCAGAATGACATTTGCAGTGGATGAGCTTTAATACAGAATATGGTGCTGGTGGCATGACTGTCTGATAAGGGGCATATGTACCATCAGTCCAACGCCACCCCCAACTGTTGGATCTAGTGTAGTATTTCCACGCCATACTTGAACCTGATCGTACACCGATAGGCTGTGGTAGCTAGCAGCTGCTGATGTTGGAGGAAGTTTCCTAACCTTTACAAATGCAACAGCATCCGCAGTTTTCTGACAAAAATGTTCCTGCGAAGGCAGTCTAAGATATCGCCTTCCGAGCCACCATACAAATGGATTAGAGGTTTTTCTCCTGCTGACATAACACATGTCTTCTGGACGTCACTTTCAGTCAGAAACTTACCCTTCTTCCAGTGACTGACCATGTTTTCTCAAATAAAACCCTTGGTGTTGTTATACTCTTTGACCGTCTTAAGTGTGCAATATCTTAGGTTGATGGACCAGAGGAGTATCCATCGAACATTATTGTCACTTTCTTATATTTTCTGTCTACAAACCTAACATTGCTGTCACATGTCATCAAAAGTAGCATTTTGTTTGTCCCCAAGGTATTCGTTGCATTAATGCACCTATATCAATCACCCAATGGACATTATCGACCAGTTCTGTTTCCTCAAAAGATCCTAGTTCCCACAATTCATCTACCAATACTGGTTTGTATGATTGCAACATAAATCCATGCATATCAAATACTGCTGAAAACTACTTAGTTCGTACTAAAACATAGTTTCTTGAAGTTCAGAGTCCATTTTAGATGCATAAGCTAGTCTTTGAAAAATGAGCTGTGGATATATGTGAATGGTGTTACAGTCAACGATCAATGCTGATTTATGAGCAAGAGTTACAACTTTATTTTTAGGTTTGAATGCATGATCCTTCAATGTATAGTATTAAGCATGGGATTTACGATAACCTGCATTATTAAGTGAAAGTTTGTTTAGCTGTAAAATGTATAAAAATGATTATTTTTTGTATTTTATTATTTTTACGGGATTCTATTTTCGCTTATAGATGCATGTATTTGTATTATTTTAAAGGCAATTTCAGGAAGAACAATAAATATATTTACGACTTTTCACCAATATTAACTGGAAAGTCAGAACTTCAATAAAAATAAAAAAAAATACAGGATTTGGTCACCAAATTGTAAAACTAGTGGTGTTCATCCAAAGATATTGTTTTAGACTTTTGATATTATATTCACAATAATTTTCACTATCAAACTACAATGGTTTCATCTGTGTACTAATTATTTCTAGGTTTTGCTAATTCTTTTCTTATTTTAAGGAGCCTATACCATCAGCAATCCACTTTGGACATCTCCTTATCCAATGTCTCTTTTGCTGACAATAGTGACAAGTGTCCCTTTCCCTAGCCTTATAGCTTCAGTTCTTATCTTAGTCCCTGTCATTTAACTTTTGAGTAAATTTACCATTATTTACTTTAGCTACTAATGCCTCTTGCAAAAAATCAGACTTAATCTAAATTGTGCTCTTTAGGAAGTTTCTTTCAAACACACACAACTGATTTGTTAACTCACTAAATGTCTTACTTTCACCCTTAGTTAAAATCATCCAACTACACTGTAAAGTGTGGAACTCTGTAGGTAAGATGTTCAAAGTCTTGCATACTAATAATGACTCTGGCAATTGACTTTCGTCTATATGTGCAGCTAACATTAATCGATTAACTAATCTACAATATAGAATCTAACTAATCTACAATATAGAATCAATAGTACATCAATACTATTTACCAGGCTATGATGTTTTGACAAGTTTTTTTTCTACTTTTCTACCTGATCAACGTGAAAATAACGTTTTTGTGGATGTGCCGGGAATTGAGACCACCCCTCCATTACCAAAGTCCACAGGCTAACAACACACCTCGTTAAAGATACATCGTTAATAAATTAATTTAGATTTATTTAAGTAAAAATTTACAGAGTATAGCCTACAAGTTAAATTTGTTCGTTGTAGATCGGGGCTGATGTAATCGTAAATTACATTAGATTAAAAGCAGATATTATACAGTATAAATCGGTTTGAATGAATGAAATTACGATTTACTTATTTAGTGTATATTAAAGGAAAACGATCGGCAGTTTCATCACAGACGTAAACTTAATTCTATTTCCTATTTCAAACATTCGGACTTATGTAGGATTCCACATGAATAAGTGCATGGATTAAAAATAGGTCTAATTTATGCAATTAGTTATTCTTTGTGTGAAGTTCACTGTTGGTGATGGTGTGTTTATTGCGGACATTTTCCATCACAATGGTAAAATAAGACCTTGTGTATTTTACCAAAATTTTACATAATTCATATTACCATTGTGAGGGAAAATGTCTGCAATAAATCTTTAAACAAAATTAGTTATTACTAGCCGAGAATCCATTGGTTTAGTTCTAAGAAAAGAGTAAAACACCTTTTGTCAGTGAAACTAGGATCACTTGATTCTTACTTCTTCAGCTTGAAATAAGAGATCCAGACCGGCAATAAAACTGGTTTATAATTTATCTTATTCTCAAACATCCATCATTATGGACCTAAACTACACGTCGAAGCGTAACGGTGTCGTAGTGGTGATGGCTACGTTTCCAGAATTTATTTGACTTATTAATTAAAGTTGAATTCATCAATAAGTTTGAAATTATTAATAAAATATTATTCAGTAACCGAACAAATATTACTACTTATTCACGCATGAATGCGATTTACTTTACTTTTTGTCAATTGAGTTCTCGGGTAATAATGAGCCTCGAAATGGTTAATACCTCTTTAGGTTTACCGCCCGACTACTGTTTGACCCCAAATTCTGTAGTGTACGTTGTAAATACACAATGCTCAACTTAGTCCAGTATAAAACACATACTGAGTCCCAACCCCCACCACGCAAAAAGAAAAAAAAATGTCTGGGATTATTGCCACAGATTCCCCCATTTGGGTTTAGAACGCTAACATATTCTGCAATAAGTTTGTTTTTGTAGAAATAGGTTAATTCTCAGTGAAACAACTTTACTCAGATAATCTAATTACTTTGTGATGTGGGTCGGCGAGCAAACAAACAAACACTCGACAAACGTTTAAAGCACATTGTGTTGGTTACAATAGCATCAATCTCATGGCTTCTGTTATTCTTGGATTTCTCAAGTAAGACGTTACCCTCTAATTAATAAAAGTTAATATCTTAAGGCATTTAAATTAATTCCAGTGTATAACATATAATACTAGGTGTACAACTCAGTTGTTTGCTTGCAATATTGAGCGGAGCTAGCATATTAATCTAATACTTTTCCATAGTCAATGCTACAATCTGGTATACTTGAAGTCTCATATGTTACTGCTAAATCTAGTTCTCGGAAATGTTATTTCTCCTAACAGTATCCAAAGTCAAAGCTTCATCTGTTTCTCATGAATGTGATATCTACTGCAGTATCCAAAGTCAGTAGTACGTCTGGTTCACATAAATAAGAAATCGACTTGAAGTTTCCAAAGACAAAGGTTCATCTGGGCCTAATAAATGAATTGTGTAGTTGCATTATCCAATGCCATTAGTATTTTTGGATCTCATAAATTGAGTGCCTTTTAACAGTGCCCATATTCAGTAGTACGTCTGGTTCACGTAAATGAATTATCTACTTGCAGTATCCAAATTCAATAGTATGTCTGGTTCACGTAAATGGAATAGTACATGGTGCATTAGCCTAATTCCGGGAACCTAATTAGTTAATTATTTTGCAGTAAATTATGCTC